GTGTGTGTGTGTGTGTGTGTGTGTGTGTGTGTGTGTGTGTGTGTGTGTGTGTGTGTGTGTGTGCGATCATTATCAGAAATATTAGACAAATTTAGGTTTAGTACTCCAAATTTGAGGAATGGAGGAGGTAGGGCGAGGACCCTGGTAAATAAGGGAAAGTACAGTACAAGGCAGAAAATTCTTGGTTTGCTAAGGTCGGTTTATGGGCTCATTTCAGTAAAACAAGGACCAGTTTAATCACCGTAGGTGTTAACGACTCGGTGTTAATGGTATTCATAAGCATTAAAAGTCTGGTGAAATTTTCACGTATAAAATCTAGGAAAACTTTTTGAGTGAGGAATTCATGACCGTACCGTAGCACCCAAAACCCGTGATGCATTCGGTTTCTTACCATTCCAGCCTTTCAGCTCGGTTTATCTAGAACTTCTTCAGTGTAAATCAATGATCTGATATGTCCGATTTCTTGCCGTTCAAATCCCTCAGAGCAGAGTGTTTTGGATCTTCAGCAGCACGCCAATCCCGAAGTATGTCCAGTTTCTCGCATTGTCAAACCTTCAAGGCAGTATGTTTAGGTCGCACTAGATGGCATTGCCAGTCCCCTGATTTGTCCGGTTTTTAGCCCTTCCCTCACAGAAATGTGTTTAGGACTCTCCCGGTGGTATTCTCTCCCCATAGTGGTTCAGGACTGGTGTGCAGCTGTTGCAAATCATTCCCTCCCTTCCCTTCCTCCGTATTTGCAGCAGTGCCACCTCGTTCGTCCTTAGTGCTTGCTCACTGAGCCTCACTCACATGCTGCACCAAAGTACTAATTCTGCTACTGCTCCGTTCGTTTCCAGCACACATTTCAATTCATTCTCAACGGCAAAAAAATAGTCATGCGGGCAATCGATGTGTGTTAGGGCCGGCCATCCAGGATTGCACATCGTTGCAGCAACCCTTTGCACCACCATTTCCCGCACAACATCACAGTGCGACGGCAAGAATGATGACGAAGACTGAGGGCGGGCTCTCCACTCACGTTCCATCCGGCTTCTCGTACTAGACGATTTCAGGATATCCTGTCTGCCCATCAGTTTTGAGTCGACATTTTCGTTTACTTTTATTTTTGTTAATTAATCAGGCAGTTGTTAGTAGATGCGGAAACTAGTAATCAATAGGACATTATTTTGCTCGAACGTTGGTCCAAAACTGCCAGAGTATAATTTTCATCCCTGGCTTTTTGCCACGAATTCAGCTTTATCCGCTTCTGCTCATATAAGCACTGATCTTTCTGTGTTTACAGCTAGAGGATGAAAAATATGCCGTTTGCTTTATATGTCCCCAATTACATTTGTCTCAAAACTCCGCTGCCTCAAATATTCTGGTTTTTCCTATTTATACAGCCAAGTGCCAATAGAGTGCCACTACACGATAGAGTATCATCAAATACCAGTATCTGCTGATTTTCTTGATCATAAGACATCTTACTGCTGTCTAGAAGTGACAGTGTCCAGGACGAGACGGTAATGATCAACACATCAAGAATATCTTGAAACAACTAAAATACTATCAAAGTATTTCTGTTGGAGAACCACCTTCAGTTAATGAAACAAATGTTAAGATCGCCAGCGGCTTGACCGCCGGACGATGCAGCGTTGGTCAAAGCAATTGAAAAATCTGTCAGATGCGTAGCTGGAGAATCTGACTGTGAATTATAGCTGATTTAAATATTCCAAACATGAAAAGCAGTTATTGCTTGGCTCGAGGCACTGTTTTGAGGTGGGAATAGATATCGTTTAGTACAGTAGCGCCATTTTTGTTGAAGTAAGCCAATTTCAAGAGTTTATGTGAGGTAAGCGAAATTGCTCGGGGTTCCCAAATAGCCCTTCGTGCACCTCACGTGAAAGGAAGTGAAGAATAGGCCGGTGTAGAGGGAGCAAATGAGAAAATAACTGGAAAGCAGAAGAGTGAAAGAAGGTTTAATTTTCCAAAAAAAATCGAATATTGTGAAAATTGGTCCACAGATTTTTGCGGTTCTTAGGATTTGCTTGTTAGTGACAGATGAACGATGCACAAATTTTACCTCACGCTGCTTCTCACGTTGCTTTTGTCAATTCACTTAAGCCGACTGAGGTGCTTACTGTCCGTTAAATTTTACCACGCATCCGAAGAAAACGAAGGCTGCTTTTCATGTTGCTTTGTAAATACTGCCATATGTGCTGAATTTGTTTTCACTCATTGTTCTTTTGATTTATGGTGTCGATGTCAACTGTAACCTTTGGTTTAGGAGCTGTCGCTTGGAAATCCAATACTTCTGCGACTACCGTGGCTAACACATTAAGGAGCGTATCCATCGCCCTCTTTCCCTCATCTAACTTGCTTCCCAAACATTCCTCGGATGAGGAGACTAACAATTGTTGTTAGTTGATTATTCTGAAGGAAATTTTTTACCATTCTCTTAGACAGATTCCTCCTTCCCGCCCGATATGGTACCATAAAAAATGTGACCCCAGTTCTTGTGTTACACAACATCATAAATATCTTGCTGTTTACTACAAGCAACATGACCGTGTCTGTCAGTTCTACGGGAACCACCCGAATGGTCATTTATCTTTTCGCGGTTACCACTGACTAATTCACGACGTCCACTGATGATATAGTGAGCGTAAAATTTCTGTTATACAGGCTGTAATGATGGCGGACTGGATGTCGGAGTTGCCCTCAGCCACTCGGGATAAACCGCTTATGACGCTCGCCATTCCAGGTCAGTCTCGTATTACTCTTTCCCGCTCCCATAGCGCCGTTTTTAAGCCATATGTGTTGTAAAGGTTTCGAACTATTCATTTACAGCGTACAATTTTTCGTGATATATGAACTAAGCTCTAATGTTCACTTTCGCCTTGGCCACTGATATTTTATGGCCATGATATGTTTGTTGTAAAATTATTAGGGTGAGTTTGGAAAGTGGTTATTATCCTCGTTACGTTAAAGCATGGACTATAATTTTAAGTCATTTGTTTTGCATCATACAGTAAATACGTACATTGGTCAGCTGTGGTCATAGCCCGGTTCTCCGGCTGACAACTTTTTCAACTGTTTTGACCAGTGCTACATTGACTGGTGGTCAGCAAAAAGGTATAAAATTATAATTGTGCAGGTTTTGCTAAACAAAGAACGGATGTGGTAGAAATAGTAATTTAGGATCACATCTTAGTGGCAGCTGCAGTCTGAAGGAAGATGGCGAAATAACGCCCGATCAAGCGTGGTGTGTTCGGGTACTCAATTCCAATGATATGATACGGAAAGCTGTCTACAACTGGTCTCGTGTACAAGTGCTGTCCATCAAACAGCAGGTAATAAGGATTAACGATGATATATAAATAAAATATAAAAATGTTTTAAAAACTAAAAATGTATTGAAAAGTGACCAAGATATATTAAGCAGTAATAACTAATTAAGCTGACATCCAGTAGTAATCAAATGGTAATAATTAAATAATAAACGATAACAATAAAAATGAATATTAGTAATAACAACTTTTAGGTTTAGCTTAGCCAGAACACGGGCCTAAAGACTAAAGCTTTTTTTGCACAACATAAATCTTTTCCCTTTGCAAGATAATTACGTGTTTTTAAATAACATGCAGAATATTTGGAACGTAATGTAATGCGTTTACTCAGTTAGGAGCGATCTTGATATTTTACGGGTAAGCTGACCGTCAGGTAATGTAGCACTGATCAAAGCAACTATAGACTTGGGAGAGTTGTCTGATGAATGAACTCTGAATTCAGATTATGAATTAACAGGTGTTGTGGTAGGAGTGATCCTAGAAACCAGATCGAAGTTAAAACTCCGGTGTTTTTACTGTTTCTGGGATACCCCCGTCACGTCCTCTCATGAATCTTGATTAAAGCTGCATTGCTTACGTCAGCTCGAGATTATTTTATAATAATATGATCACGTGATTTCATTTTTCAAATTGGTATGAATTTTGCCGACCCGCAAAACTGACCCATACTTACAGTTGGAAGCGGGTGTTCGATTTCTGGATGTACGTGTGGCAGCGATTAATGAAAGCTTTTACGTGGTGCATGGGCTACGAGCCATGGAAATTAGAGGTATTGCTTCTGGAATGTATTATTTTTTAATCCTCCGTGTGGACTTGTTGGCGGCGGAGTGGTACCATTAACACGCAACACTTTACCGTTTCTAACTTTCTTTTCAAACATCCTTTGAATGAGGGGACCATTGGCAGCTTTTACGACCGTGTGCTCACTATTGCAAAAATGCTATTACTTGGAACATTTTCTGGTGCATTTTTCCATATAGTGAACGGGTACAAGCAAAGAAGTAAACGAACACGTCGGCAACTCCTGCAAGACATGGCGCACATACATCGAACAGGTGGTGAGTACTGATTGGAGATATGCAGCTCAAAATCGAAAGAATTGGTACAGCTGAACGCAACGTTTGAGAGCATTTCAAAAATCAGTAACATGGAACACTTACACTGACTGTCCAGAAGATTTTGCTTTTCTTGTTAATAATGAGTAGAAATATGGACTTAAAAAATTTTCAACGTTCAGAGGCCTACAGCTCTATATATATATATATATATATATATATATGCACCATTTATCTGGAGTGATCCTTAATAAAATTCATGAAATCTGCTCATAAAAAACCTCTTTCATTTTGTTATTTTGGGTATTTTTTTTCAGAATTATTCAAGAGAGTGGATGATTTTGTATCACTGCATCCGAAAGAAGTAATTTTGATTGATATCAACCATTTCTATGAGTTCCACGAGCAGCAACACGAGAAGTTACTTGATATGATCAGTACCTTATTCGGCGATCGACTGATCAATCGGCCGGCAACAACTCGAACTGCTATGAGCTACACACTGAACAAAATCTGGAACGGTGCTGGAAGGGTCCGTTTTACATTTTTATAACATCAGAAAACGAAAAGAATGCGAATACAGTGGTCAAAACGCCGACCACCAGGCAATGGCAGCATTGGTCACAGCAACTGAAAACCTGCTAAGCTGTACATAGTTGGAGAACACCGGACTAGGGATTACAGCTTAACCAAGTTCAATGTAAACACATTGGAGGAAAGATGTTTGTCTCTGCTATGGTAACGAGGTTTGACGAGGGAAATACAGCAAAAATCTGTTTAGGATAAGGCGAAGGAGTGCGAGAGGTGTTGAGTATATGAATGATGATTCGTCACTAAAACCTGAATTATATAGCAGTAGCGTGTTTCTTCTATTTCGCATTAGGCCGATAACAAACACAGCTGACCAGTTCGGACAGCCAGTCCATTAAGCGCATTTGACTGCGGAATGACGGACACAACTGCAACTAGCTTTTGCTCATTTTTTGTGAGAATACAGTGGCATCTGAAGGAAGACGCCATGGCACAGCTGAAACGAAATTCTTGGTTTTAGGTGATAGTTTTCTATCAACCACCGTTACCTTCGCCGGACACTACTGATATAAATGGACATGCTGGACCATCAGATATTATCAAACTGCCGAACTATGTGTGGAGTCGACAATTCATCAAAAGTCCTTGGCCAAAAACCGAAGATACGCGTCGTATGATTGACGAAGTGGCCGACATAATACAGTCACGGGTACTTGAAGATGGTTTCCAGGTATTGCTTTCTCACATACTTAGTAGGGACATTTAGTGATGCTCGTTGTATAGGGGAAGAAGTGGGACAGAAAAAGAACTGGAAGGAACGTCAGGGGAGGGAATGAAACAACAAAATTCTAGGGATGCGAAGTTGTAGGACTAAATAGAAATATATACGACTTGATGGGTCAAAATTTCTCCGTTCATCTCATTATTTGAATGTATTTTTTAACTTGTATCATTACTGATGTCTTTATTACTGCGTAAAGGAACTACTCAGGGGGGCGTTTATGAAAAGCGGATCTGCAGAGCGAGATGTACCAGCAAACAGAATCAGTCTGTTTTTGGGAAGAGAAAACGAGAGTGGCAGATGTTCAAATTCCCACTTCAAAACAGTCCTGGAATACTAACAGCTGTTTTTGCAGGTTTGCCAGGCCATAGTAACTCTGACCGTAAACTCGATCATCCGCCAGCCAACGGGCACATTTGAGGCTCGCTTCGGGCGACGCGCCACCAGGGCATTGGTTGACTGGCTCCGACGTGTAAGTACCATTCCACTTTTTACATTGCTCGAGGAAATAACTTTTGCAAATACGTAGCATAAATTATGTGAGGTAACAGAACGCAACGCGCTGAACACAGACTAATTATGCGTTTGGAGGTACGGCGTTACAGCGTTGCAACAGTCAGTAAAAACGCATATTGTGACGATCCTTTATGTATATACATATATACATGTATATATATATATATATATATAT